GGCTGTTAGTGGATTTGAGCTGACAGAGAGGTTTGCCCTTAAGAATAGCAGCACAATTCCATACAGACTAGGCCACTTTTAGGCTAAAAATCAAAATGGAGATTGAAGCTCAACTAAAAAATCCTATGTCAGGATATTTTCCAAAACCAGAGCTCAGAAAATCTTTATGTCAGGACACTACCCAGAACCAGAACTCAGAAATTCCCATATTAGAAGCATTTTCCAAACCAGAAACTTCATGCACCAATGAGGTACTGCAACATAATCTCATTTTACAACCCTCTAAAGTGCATTTGCTAAAACCCCACATAAATCCCCCCCAAGCCCAACCCCCAGTGCTACTCCCCTTGCTAAGTAGCACGGTGTGCAATAACCGTTGAGAAGAATTCTACCTCCACCTTGGTGTGGTTCTTGGCTTCAATCTAAAACCTTCCAGCCACCAGACCTCCCCAACTGAAAGTTTATATAGAAATCTGTGCCATCTCCTCTGCAATTCACACACTACAGTTCTTTGAGACAGTGTCCTCTGGTAGGTAAAACTTAAGGATTCCATTCTTCAAAACAGCTATAAACTCCTTAAGAATTGACTCTTGCATTCTGTTGTTTAATTCATTGGAGTGATAGCAACCTCCCCGCCTAACCACCAAATTGCCAAAATTTGTCTGCATATAAAACTCCATTCAGTGGCATTCCTTTTTAAACTATGAATAGACAGCCTAGATTTTCCAGATATTTGATATGTTTTTTCCAGAATAAAGATAAGAGGGAGAAAAAAAGAAATGGACTAAAAAAAATCGAGTTTCTTAGACTATAATGTAATCTCTACTGGAGCAGACTCTCCCATAGTCACACCACTTCAAACACCAGACTTTGAGGACTTTCAAGGAAAGATTTTACAGAAAATCTGCAGGGAGCTTTGGTGGGTGGCCTAATGATAAGAATCTGTGCTGCAATCCCAAAGGCATTCAGTTTGAATTCTCCAGCTGCTCAGCAGGAGAAGGATGGACAACCTCCCATGTGATTTACTGTCTCTGAAAACCTGCTAGAGGATCAGCTATGGGTTAGTTCTGACTTGATGGCACACAACAGCAACAACAACAGCTGTATAAATAAATCCCTCAAAAAAGGAAATAATTAAGGATTGGAGACTAGTGTCTCAGTATTCATTTCTAAATATTCTATACAGTAGACTTCTATCCCATGAAGGAGTAGGTTGGTATGAAGTGCTAACTTCTTTGTTAGCAACTAGGGCCTTAACTTAACCTGAATTAAACCACGGCTCCTAGGATCAGCATATGACCTAGCAATTTAACTCCTAGAAATATACCCAGATAAATGGAAAATAAAAGTCCGTAACACACTATTGACAGAAGAATATCAGCCCCAAAGTGGAAGTAACAAAATGTCCATCAAAAGATGAGTTGTTGTTGTGTGCCATTCAGTTGCCTGTGATTCAAAGCAATCCTATGTTCAACAACCCTAAACCCTGCTCTATCTTGTGCCAATCTTATTGTCTCCTGCACACCCCATCCCCATTACCCCACTCACTGAATCAATTCATCTCATCAAGTCTCTTCCTCGCCTGTACTGCCCCTCCACCCTCCTGAGCATGACGTACCTCTCCAAGGACAGATCCTGAAGGGAGAGCATGAACCCCATTTTGTGTGTCCAGCACCCCCTGAGCCTTAACCAAATCCAACCTTGAAAAGAACTAATTAATTCCAGAGGCAGAAGTGAGCCATAAAAATTCTTAGAATAAACACAGATGCCTTTAAAAGCCTTATCAGGTAGAGTCTTATCTGTTCCTGCAAGTTTAACCTGTGCTACATGACTCAAAGAGGACAGTCATGACTGAAAAAGAAGTGTATATGTGACACGGGAAGGGCAAAGGTGGGCAAAATAGCCAGCCAATCAAAAGCCAACCCACATGACTGATGCCCCTGCCCACCAGCCATGTCCCCAATTACCTTGTCCTGGATGGAAGCACTCAGAAAGGCCTCAAAAACAGTCACACATGTGGACTTGGGGTTCTCGCCACTTTTCCACTAAGGGAGGGAGCCTCTGCATGCAGAAAACTGTTCTGTAAAATATAGCACTCTTTGTTAATTGCATACATGAATAATGGTCATTTGGAGTGACACTTAGTGGGTCTAACAATCCGACCTTGCAACAGGTCCAAAGTATGTCAGACAAAGCTTCAGAATCGCTGCCTCCAAGGAGCAGCCATGTAATGTATAATTGGAGTATTACTCAATTGTAAAAAAAAAAAAAGATAAAAGAACTACAGATGTGATGTTGTACTATCAAGTCACAACTGACCCTTAGCTGATCCTCCAGCGGGTTTTCAGAGTAATTGCCATCTTACAATGTAGATGAATGATGGTACATTATTCTGAGTCAATTTTTTTTTAATCTGAAGAAATCCTTATTATATGAGCTGATTTATGTGAGAGATCCATAAGGACAAAAAGTAGAATTGTGGTGGCAAAGGACTAGAAGGAGGATGATGGGGAGCAACAACTTGATGATGGGTAGAGGGTTTCCATTTGAGGCAATGGAAAATTTCCAGAACTAGACAGAGGTGATTGTTGCATGACATTAGAAACATACTTAAGACCACATTTTAAAATTATTAATTTAATATTAAATATATTTCAGCAGAATTTTTTCTAGTGCAAAATAAGGAACAAAAGCAGGACTGAGGAAGCAACATCTGGAGGGTGAAGAAAAAATGTTCCAAACTATTTATCTTGTTGTTTAAAGGCCAACAAGATATGTTCTTCCTATGAAACAAGATAGAAAAGCATTATTTGTGTGTTTCAAACACAGGGGTAGAAGAGAGAAAAATGGCAACTAACCCATATTCATGGAACTGTTGCAAAATGAAGGCATATAAATGACTAAACTCTAACTTATTGCAAAACTCATTAAGAATGTCTCAACTGGATATCAGAAACAGAAGTGGAAGTACCTTGTTTAGAGATAATGTCAAGTGACTTCTCACAAAACTGCTAAATACTTTGAAGTTTTTGCCTCCAGAATGTAACACTTAAAATAATCATTACTGTAAAGATAAAGAACTAGAGGTGCCAAATTTACAAAGAATAAGGGAGCCAATAAGAAAAGGCCACGAAATTAAACAAAAGAGATTAAACTTAGAAGGGAATCCTGAGAAGTGACCTCTCTCTAGTTCATAACTCTTGACTTCTTTAAAGGAATAATTTGGATAGATCTTCTCTAAAAGTAGACCCAAGATTGCATTGAAATCTCACAAAATCTACTGTTGTTTGTTAAGGTGTGACTGGTTAACATGCTTTTGAAGAGACTATGCAGTGTGCTCTTGGGTCCACGCAGTCATTTTGCTGCCTGCCTAGTGTAGGCCGTCCCTGTCCCCTTCAACCTCTGCATATAGTAGATAAAAACAAAAAAAGAAAAAAAGAAATTCAGTCTATCTATGATCAAATAGACTCTGCCATGGATAATATACCCCTAGATAGACTCCTTTGGCAATCTTAATAAACAAATAAAAATTGCTAGTAGATCCACATACAAAGCACCTGCTAAGAATTATACATTCATAAGAATATGAGAATAGATAGCCAGGCAGAAAAATGTAAAACCATTTTCTATAAATGGTCCCCAGCTTCAGAGAGCTAGGCTGTGAACAGTAATTCCACTCCATTATGAACAGTTAAGGAAATCAATCCTTCTCCTGCATCCTATTGCCCTAGTATGAAAGTGGTCCTTATAATGTTGCTATCAACTGGAAACAGACAAGCAAGCTGAATCTCAAGAGCTAAGAACTTGGGTGGGGGAAAAAGCATTTCTCCTTAGGATCTAAAACAGAGGTAGCTATGCCAGTCTACTCCTAGATTCTCCTAAGATATAAGCCTTAGAAGGGAAGTCAAGGACAGTTTTACTGAAGTTAAGACTCACACAGAAGAAAAAGTGGAAAGAATCCAGAGAGAACACGTGGGGGAACTTCATTTTATTTTCTGTTTTCCTACTAACATCATCGCTTTAGGATTTCAATTGCATTTTGCCTTCGACATGACCTGTCATAGTTCTGCAGAAGTGAGACACACAGAGAAAAAGAGAGAGACAGAGACAGAGAGTTTGGTAAAAAATCTCAGAGATGGGTGGGGAGCATGGGAGGCGATTAAGAAAGAGTAGCCTTGGGATTTCTCTAGAGCTTTCACATGGACTCTACGTTTAACCCTCACCATTTCTTCAACTATCAAAACAAAGAGCTAGGAGAAATCATAACTGATCTTAGAGACAAGAAGACCTTACAGGTTATGCCACTAGTTTGTTGAACTTATATTTGGCACAGGACATTTTGTTTCTAAACATCCCCACAAAATTGGTTAAGAGAAACAAAGATTATCTTCTATCCCTCTACTCTTCTCTAATATCTCTGCTTCTTGGTTAAGAAAAAAATCTAAACACATAAATGCTGTATTTGTAGCTTTGTCATCAGAAATAAAAGCTCTACTTTAAAAGGGGAACAAGGAAGAGGAGAAGGAACAGAGTGAGCATTCCAGAAGGAAAGTGGCTTTTCCCAGGAACTTAGTCATCTGAAGTGTCAGGCTGGGAGAAGAGAGCAAACAAGCTTTTCACATTTACTCACCACTTCCTTAGTATCCCTGGGATTTGTTACCTGCAATTTGTTGTCTGTTTTATGCAATAGAAATTAGCATTCATTGAATCTCAGTTCCTTCCAAGCTTTTTCTAAGGAAACTCTGTATTTGTTCCTGTTGGTTCTAAGCTTTTTGCAAAGAAGTGCATAATTGTCATCTCAAAAACCCCTACCATGAGGACTGTAACATTCATTGTCTTCATTCACAAGTGAGGAAATTGAGGCTTAGCAACAAAGCCAAGATTTTCCAAATTCCAAAGGCCGATGTCTAACCATAGCCTAATATATAAAAAGAACAAATGCAGATATTTCTATTGACCAGGCAAAGCAAATGTCTTTTTCTACTTTGTTTCTCTACTAGACAAGTGTGGACGCCCCATGTTTGGGAGTCCTGGCTGCAGAGCTGTCTCTTTTATGCTCTCACCATGATCCTGCAATCACATTACAAGCATCTGTGGGAATGTATCACCTCCTCTGTATTGCAAAATGTCAGACTGGTAAGACTGGCTCACCACTTTTCGAAGAGTTACTACATAATCTGCTTCTGATTTATCTACTTATAAATCCTATAAAAGATTCTGTGGACTTCTAACTTTTATCTTTTATCCTAAGATATAGCCTCACTTTCTGAAATGTTGGGTTGTTTTTTTTAATCTCTACAGAATTTTCAGTAACCATATGTTGTACCTAGGTTAGTTGGTTTTACTAAAACTGTAATATTCTGTGCTTAGCTGTGTTGGCTATTGATAATGGGGATAGCAATGTTGAGTTTTCCTTGAAGGTGAGAGGAAAAGGAAAGTTTACCAATGAACTATAATGCCTTTTTCCATCTAAAAATGTTGTAAATTGCATTAAGTGACTTTCCGTTTCCTCCTAAGGTTTTAGGGCATGTGCAAACTTCAGTCAAAATGGAAAGAAATAAAGCTCTTTATACACATTCATACTTCTTCTAGTGTGATAGGCATACTTGAAGAAAGCTAGACATAAAGAGAATATACACCAACTTTTAAGGGAAGACTGATTGATAGCTTTACGGAATTTGTAAGTTTGATTTTGAAGTTGTCAAAAGCATAAAGTGAATCACCAGAATTTGAAAAGTAAGCAATAAATTAAGATGATAACTCAATTTTCCCATTATCAGCAAAATTGAATTGGCATTATCATGGAATTACCCATTGTTTTGTGGAAAAATGGGAAGGATATTAATATATTTTTATCTTAAAGTCTACTTATATTTGAAAAGAACGTCTAGAAAGAGGTTAAACAAAGAAACAGAAGGCTTGAGTGATACTATAAAAAACTATATTTAATACATACACTTTATATATATATATACA